CTAAAAAATCATGGATATGTTATTGACTCCCAGTTATTAAGTGTTATATATATATATATATATATATATATATATATATATATATATATATGTTGCCCTAAAGCAAATGAAATTAATTATTTTTCATAAATATTAAGACATAAATGCAAAAACTATATAATTTTCATATATAAAAAGTGAAACAACCAAAGAAGATAGATCACAACAATATAAATCATTGGGTATAACCCTATAAAATCCAACAAGAACATCAATTTTCTAAAAAAAAGTATTGTATTTTTAACTAAATTGATGACACTATAGTGCACTCGAAGTGCTTGGTCCATTAAAGTATGCATCTTTAGTGCTCAATTGTTGATAAAGTTGTAGTGATTGAAACCTGCAACAATCATAATGAAATTAATTAATTATTATTATTATCATCACTGTAATTTAAAAAAAAAAAAGATTAATTGCATGATTCGTCTCTATATGTTTTAGATTTTTTTAATGTAGTTTTTTTTATGGAATCTTTTTTATTTTTTAAATTTTCTTATCCTTCTAATGAGATTTTATCCAACTTTCGAGTAAAAGTGACGAGTGGATTGACGTAGTAAATAAAACGGACACGTGAAATGATAAATCTTACCATGTGTTACTTTTATATAATATTTCATTTCACATGTTAGTTTTATCTCATTTATATCGGTCTATCTATTATTTTTTTCCTCAAAAAATCCAATAGAGCCCCTTTAAAAGGATTACATTAAAAAAAAACTAAGATAATAAAAACCTAATAAATAAATAAAAAGTGACATTAAGAAAATCTAAAAAATACATGACGAAGCATGTATTAGACACACATATCAATAATGACCCCACCAAGTGATAAGCCCTACGAATAAGAATTCCAACGAATGAAGTCTTCCATGGCACACCTCCAACAATCTAATAAAGAAAAGGAATGAATTATTCACTTTAACACTTTCTCTTTGTATATATCTATCATAGTTGTTAACTTTTCAAAGATATCCTTGTAATAATCACCTGTATAAATAGTGCTTTAGAGCCAAGAGAAATATATAACATAAACATTACGTGCTCTCTCTCTCAGAACTCAATTTGGTATTAAAGTCGACTCTAGCATACTTTTTTCCCCTACCTTACTATAACCAATGGTTAACTCTAGCACTACTTCTTTTGCTCGAAATACCATATCCATAACATAAAATCAACCTACCGCAAGTTCCTTACACAATGCTCATCATTTTCTCTCTCTAAAACTCACCTTCACCAACTTCTTACTATGTCGTACTCAAATGAAGTCTTTCTTGCTAGGATAAGGTCTTTTTGGGTTTGTAGATGATTCTAATCCTTGCCCTCCTAGCCATTTTTCATCTAATGACATGGATCTCCCTCAAATCAATCCTTCCTACCTTTCATGGATTCAACAAGACTAGTTACTATTTTGAACCCAATAAACACTTGGCTTGGAGATCGCCTATGTCTACCGAGATTACTTGTTTTTCTCAAAATCGATATGTGGTCTTTACTCGCCTCTTTCCCCTTCTATGAATATTTTTGGTAGCAAATGGGTTTTCAAAACAAGAAGAAAGGCAAACGACAGACCTTAAGAGATACAAAAGCTAAGTTAGTGGCTAAAGAGTTTCACCAACAAGAGGGGTAGATTATGGAGAAACCTTTAGTCCCGTCATCAAGCCAATCTCAATTCGACATGTACTCACTTTAATAGTAAACGTGTCTAGCAAGTCAAGAAATTAGATGTGCACGAGTACTTTCCTGAATGGGACTTTGACGAGAGGATTTTTATATGTCTCAACCCATTGGTTTTGTTGATGATAGATTTTCTAACTATGTTTACAAACTCCTCAAATCCATCTATGAATCAAAACAATCACCACACGTTTGGTTCTCCTATCTTCATAAATTTTTGCTCAATTTTGAATTTATAGCTTTAAAAATTGATTTTTCATTGTTTATTTATACTACCTGGGGTCCAAGCTCTTCTTGCTTGTATATGTGGATGACATTTTTCTTACAAGTAATAATGATCAATTCATCTTATCTATTTTTTAATGCCTTAAACTCACGAGTTTACAATCGGGGATCTTGGAGAACATAGTTTTTCCCTTGGTATTGAGGTGACCAAGACTTCGATAGGCTCTACTATTGTCTCAAAAGAAATACATTACCGACATTCTTGAAAAGCAACGAATGCTATCATGTCGGCCAGTATCCACTCTTATTCCAACCACTTTTAAATTAATAAAGGAATCGGGACGTATTTTTTCCAATGCCATACTTACTCGATCGGACATTGCCTATGTGGTTAACAAAGTTTGTTAATTCACGCATAATCCAAAGATGGACCATTGGATTAATGTGAAAAGAATCCTAAGGTATCTTAACTACATGACTAATTATTGTTTGCATATTTGCAAGTCCAATCCAATCCTATCTTGTTTTTTAGATTATGATTGGATAGGATTTATCGATGACGAGAATATCCATTAAGGGTTATACGGTTTATCTTGGTAACATCTTATTCATTAAAAATCATCTAAACAAAAGATTGTGATCAAAAGCTCGATAAAGGCTGAATACAAGGTGATGGTCGGCTTAGTCGCTAAGTTATCTTAATTTATTTTTCTACTACGGGAACTTGGTGCCTCTCTATAAGCTCCTTTCACTATTTGACGTGATAATATAGGTGTTATTTATTTAACGAGTCTTTATTTCATGCCTATACGAAGCATATTGAATTCGATTTTTATTTTGTCAAAGGTATGGTTGCAAGGGGTAGTCTCCGAGTCAAATTTATTTCTAGTGAATATCGGTTAGTTGATATTCTTACCAAACTACTATCTACCATGAGATTTCGGTTTCTTAGAGACAAACTAACTATTGGCAAGATACCATAGTTAATTTGCAAGGTAGCATTAGACACACACAGCAACAAGGACTCCAAGTAATGATAAGTCCTACAATAACAAAAACTCTAACAACAACAACAAGTCTTCTATGACATACCTATAACAATCCGATAAAGACAAAGAATGAGTTATTCACTCCAACACTTACTCTTTGTATATATCTATCATAATTGTTAAGTCTTCAAAGATATCCTTGTAACAATCACCTATATAAATAGTGCCTAAGAGCCAAGAGAAATATATAATAGAAACATTACCATAGTGCCTTAGAGCCAAGAGACATATATGCTAGAAACATTAAACTCTCTCTCTCTCTCTAGAAACCAATTGCATGCATGTGATTAATCCAAAAAAAGATTATTAGTAGTATTTCTTCTTCTCCTTGAAATTATATTGTACTTAGATCAATGGTGACAAGCATGAATGGTAGTTCCATTAAAATCACAAGTACCCCCACTCGACCTTTGTTTTCTCGTCGATACCTATTGAAAACATAAGAAGCATGAGAAACCATAGTATTGGACTAAATTGATTTGCAATCGGCACCCGACTCGTAAGTATATAGTCACTTATAGTCCAACCACGAAGCATATAGTCACATATAGTCCAACGCCTCTTAGATAATTGAATCATTTGATCCCATAACACTACATGCGTCTAGATTCCGGAATCATAGACACTTACGTCGTTAGGAAATAGTAACAATCTATAGATATACTTCTTCGTAATGTATACATTGCCAAATTCTAGAGTAAGTTACAATTGAGGTTTTTCATAAATGGCATTGCATTGACGGGACACTTCATATCTAATGCTACGAAACTAACTTTATATTTCAAAACCCGGATTTGCACTTTGATATCTTAGAAGTTCAAATCTTGTAAAGGGAGAGGAAGTGAAATTTAGACATTAAAAAGGATTACCTCTTAAACCTCCGGGGTTTAGCTTGATCGTCAAACAGTGGTGTTTCTATCGGAGAATAATGTAAATCATATTATGCAACCTTACCTATAATAGTTTAAACTTTTGGATTGAAATAGTTTTTTGATTTGGTATCCGAGCTTTGCTAACTTGATGATTGAGAGTTTGAATCCTACCATTATACTTTCTCTTCTAATTAATTAAGTACAAGATCGTCCAGGTTTGTGCTAGTTGAGCTTTCACTTGAGAGGGTATGTCGGAAAATATTATAAATCATATCTTGAAGTCTCACATTATAACTTAAACTTTTAGGTTGAGATAGTCCTTTAACGACTTACAATCTTAATATATTAATTTTTTCCTTCATTAAATTTCTCTTAATACACTACAATGATAAAAATGATGTGCTTTTAAGATTATTTGGATAAAAAAATATATATTTTCAATGAATGAACAAGTTAGCTCGAAAATACCATTATTTAACAAGGAAAAAGAAGAAGAAGAAGAAGATGCATTTCCTTTGACTTAGCTTTGACTTCAATTGTCTTGTCGGATTGGAACCTGTTAAAATTAATAATCCGATTGTAACCAATGGGACTTTTATGACAATAGGTAATAATAAATTATCCCAATCCAAATAACAAATATGTCAATAACGATCCTATCCTTTTTTTTTTTTAATTTGTAATTCAACAAAAAAGTGACTTTTCTTTAGTTATATTGATTTTTGTCATATCTTTCCTGTATGATCTTTTCGAAAATAGTTACCATTATATGGAATTTAACCGAAATTTATAGGGGTGTATTCACGTTAGATTTTTCTATTATCTACTTTGATTTAACCGGAAGTGAGATTCGGATTTTTTATTATTCGACGCTAAAATATATCATCTAAAATATATCATCTGGTAATAAATTGTCAAAATAATGATTATTCAAAATAGTACTGTAGAGATTCTCAGAATTTATTTGACCTTTTAGTAACTCTAATTTTATAAAACCTGTATTACATTATGATGAATAATAAAATTTAAAAAAAAATGAAAAATGAACACACACATATCTGTATCAATTAAGCAACAAAAAGAATGACTCAAATATTTGTTGCGGCTAATTAAACCGGAGTCAATGATGGGTGCCGGTAGTCTACTTGTGTCCACAGCAAGGACTAGGGCCCGCCTTCTTTCCTCCAAGTGTCTCACTGTTGGTAAACCCATGTCCAACACCAGGACTTGGGCCTGATTGTTTGATTTCTCCAAGTGATAACCCATCAAAGAAACTCTCAATAGCTCTGCTAGCGGCAGAGTTTCTTGACTTCATGATGTTGAAGGGACGAGCTTCAGTAGTGTCAATCAATAAAAGGGAGTTTACCATCAAAAGAATGGCAAAGAAGCTGAGAGATTTGAGCATGGTAATTTCCATGTTAGGTACTATTGTCAAAAATAAACAAGTACTGTCTGCAGGGGACTAGGGTAGTGTATGAGATAATTGGGCATGGAGGAGGAGTCCATGCATGTGCTATTTATAGGGTTAAGTAGCTTGTGCGAGATATCAGTGCCTAGCTAGGAAGCAACGAGGGAGGTTCTTTATTCTTATTCTTCACGGAATTGCATGCTTTGATCAGCTTGATAGTCCAAATTGGAAGGTGTAGAATAGGAAATATTGATGGTGGAATTGAAGCTGATAATTCCTGGCTAGTGTTAATCTGTATCTGGTTTTGCCGGGTGCCCCAAGTCGTGGGAAATTTATCTGAATCAAAGAGCTAGATTGGAGACCAAAGACCATGCAATCTTTGAATTCCAATGGTGACATTGGCTGGTCAACTGCCAAGGGAGCAATTCATAGAATTTATCGGAAGAAAGTAGGGCAATAGAATTGGATTTAGTGCGTCTATTCAAGTTCATTGTTGTCGCCTCTAATTGCCAGCTTAGATTTAATTTGTTGTAGTGCAAGCTTTGCTTGAACAGCCTCTACTTTGCCAAGGCCTTGTCGGTGATCCAAGTGGAAAACAAAGTTTTCAGAGATGTTATCACACAGTCATCAAGAAGAGTTTGACCCTTTTTTTTTTTCTTTAGGATAGTTAAATATTAGAATGTGCATGTGTATTACATATGTGTTTAAAGAAGGTATTTTTTAATGAGTTCTGAAAAGTAAAAATTGACATGGTTGTCTTTAAATGACGTATCATTTTGTGATATTATTCGTATTAAACATCAAAAATTAAAATATTTGATGGAGTTGTTATCATTTTAGGTAGGATGATTTATATCTCAAATACGTCTATGAATCTAATATTATTGAAGTAGTTAAACTTCAAATAAAACAATTATTACACTATTAGGTAAGTTTTGAAAATCACACGTAACTATATAATCATAATAAAAGAAAAATAAGTATAATTGTAGTGATCTTGAAAAGCAGTTGGAAATGAAGCGCAAACGGTAATAATTATCTATATGAATTCTTGTTTATGATGGGTAAATAGGCTAGATTAATGCATTTTTGGGTTTCAAACAAATGGGGGTGATTCCTATTGAAAGGAAAAAAAAATCAATTAAGGTCTTGTTTTGGATGTTGACTTGATATTTTGAATCAGAAAAAAGTTTTAAAATGGTTTTCTTATTCAGGTTACGTGTAATTGACATGAGTAAATTTTAAAAACTACTACTACCTTTCGTTTTCTTTTTTACAGTACTTGCAAGAAGATAGGATCAACAACTCTTCAGAAGGACTGAAGATTCTTCAAGGTTGAAATTTGTTAGTCGTGTCAAACTTAACTTGAGGTGTATGTGTATATTTCTACAGAAGTCAGGTAAATTTTATACGCTTTGTTCGAAGAACCTTGGACTACAAAATTGGGTATTCCTCCTCTATTCATGATAATAACTGAAGACTTAAACTTGGTCCCTTCTTGAAATTATGTTGTGCTTGGATCAATGGTGACAAGCATGGCAGTTCCACCAAAATCACAAGTAACCCCCACCGGCCACCAGCCTTTGTTTTCTACCGGTAACGATTGAAAGCATAAGAAGCATGAGAAACCTTAGTATTGGGCTGAATTAATTGATTTGCAATCGGCACCCGACCCGCAAGCATAGTCCAGGCCCCTTGTAGAATTGAATCTGGTCCCATAACACTACGCCTAGATTCCAGAATCATAGACACTGTACGTTCTTAGGAAAATAGTAACAATCTGTAGATATACTTCTTCTTAATGTATACATTGCAAAAGTCTAGAGTAAGCTACAATTGAGGTGTTTCGTAAATGGCATTGCGTAGACAGGACACTTCACATCTAATGCTACAGAGACCAAATTTATATTTCAAAACCTGGATTTGCACTTTGATGTCTTAAGTTCAAATCTTGGAAAGGGAGAGAAAGGGAAATTTAGACATTAGAGAGGACTACCTCTTAGACCTTCAAAGTTTAGCTTGATCGTCAAGTGTGCTTGGTGTTAGAGAATAATATAAATTATATATTAAAATATTAATTTAAATTTTTAGATTGAAATGGTTTTTTTAACATGATATCAAAATTTTGCTAACCTAAATCTAATGATTAAAAGTTCGAATCTTACCACCTCACTTTTTAATTAATTAAACACAAGATATTTTTAATTAATTAAACACAAGATAATATGCATCCGTATAAATTTCAAATTTAAAAGGTTTTTACTTGAGGGAGTGTATCGGAAAATAATTTAAATTATATTCTTAAATCTCATCTAACAACTTAACATTTTGAATTGAGATAGTCCTTTAATCACTTTTAATCTCAATATATTAATTTTTTCTTTCATTAAATTCTCTTAATATACCGGAATGATAAAAATGATGTGCTTTTAAGATGATTCAGATAAAAATTTATTTTCAATAGATGAACAAGTTAATTCGAAAATATCATTATTTTCGAATAAGAAAAAAAAATGTATTTCTTTGGAGTTTAATTGTCTTGTTGGATTGGAACCTGGTAAAATTAATGTTCTAATTGTAATTAATGTCACTTTTATGAGAATAGTTAGTAGTAAACGATCCCAATCGAAATAATAAATTTGTAATTCAACAAAAGATGACTTTTCTTTAGTTAGATTGATTTGGTCTAATCTTTCCTAATATATATATATATATATTGAATTCAGAATACTCTCGAAAATGACAGATTTAAGAACAGCGTGTCAGCACGTCACCATTCCACTGATATTTTTTGGTGGTGTGAATATAATCTTTATTTATTTTTATTGATTATGTAAGATAATTTTCAACCATGTTTTAGTGAATCTTTTGATTACTTTGATTTAACTGAATGTGGAACTCGGATTTTTTTTATTATTATTATTATTCGACGATAAACTTTATCATCTGGTAATAAATTGTCTCAATTGAATTAATAACCAACAAATAGAATTATTCAAAATAGTACTATAGAGATTCTCAGAATTATTAATTTGACCTTTTACTAACTCTAATTTTATAAAAGCTGTATTACATTATAATGAATAATAAAATATAAAAAAATGAAAAATGAACACACAAACAAATATATATATCAATTAAGTAACAAAAGAATGACTCAAATATTTGTTATGCTAATTAAACAGGAGTCAATGATGGGTGCCGGTAGTAAACTTGTTTCCACAGCAAGGGCTAGGACCCGCCTTCTTTCCTCCAAGTGTCTCGCTGTTGGTAAACCCATGTCCAACGCCAGGACTTGGGCCCGATTGTTTGATTTCTCCAAGTGATAACCCATCAAAGAAACTCCCAATAGCTCTGCTAGCAGCAGAGTTTCTTGACTTCATGATGTTGAAGGGACGAGCTTCAGTAGTCTCAATGAATAAAAGGGAGTTTACCATCAAAAGAATGGCAAAGAAGCTGAGAGATTTGATCATGGTAATTCCCATGTTAAGTAATATTGTCGAAAATAAACAAGTACTACTGTATGCAGGGAACTAAGGAAGTGTGTGAGATAATGAGGTATGTATGGAGGAGGAGTCCATGCATGTGCTATTTATAGGGTTAAGTTGCTTGGGGGATGAGGCTTCTTTGACTAGAATTTAATCTGTTCATGCAAACCATTCAACACAAACGTGAGACTAATGGGAGAGATCAGTGATGCCTTGCTAGGAAGCAACGAGGGAGGTTCTTTATTCTTATTCTTCAAGGAATTGCATGCTTTGATCAGCTTGGTAGTCCAAATTGGATGGTGTAGAATAGGAAATATTGATGGTGGAATTGAAGCTGATCATTCCTGGCTAGTGTTAATCTGTATTATGTTTTGCCGGGTGGCCCAAGTCATTGGAAATTTATCAGAATCAAAAAGCTAGATCGGAGACCAAAGACCGTGTAATCTTTGAATTCCAATGGTAGCATTGGCTAGTCAACTGCCAAGGGAGCAATTCATATAATTTTATAGGAAAATAGGGCAATAGAATTGGGTTTCGTGTATTGATTCAAGTTTGCATTTGCTACAATAAGGTAGCTAGCAAAGTCCAACACTAGGATTGACAATGGCACTCTTTTTATTAATGTTTTACTTTCATCCCTTGACTTTTATTATTATTATTATTATTTTAATAATGCCAACTTTTAGGCTTGCAAAAGTGAACATGATGTTGCTTGAAGGTGCAAATCTCTGTGGTCACACTTAACAGACTACAAGTGTCTCAAGATTTTTATTTTTTTCTTATCTTGATCAAAAAGTTTGCCCTTTTTAATTTATGGTTTTGGTTCTTATTTTCTCAAAGGATTTCATCCTTAGCTTAATAGTAAAGGTAAATAGCTCAATCTATTTTTATAAAGCATTTTGAATCTTTTATATGTTTCTAGATTTCTAATTATATCTTATTTAATTTATTCCTTTTTTAAAAAAAATATTCAATTTATCTTTCTCACCAACTTTTTAACTAAATTGTCATTTAAAAAAAAAAAAAAACCTAATGCCACATGACCTGCATGTTTCCTTTTTCTCAAGTCTTTGGATTTTTTTTTTTTTTTGGACATTTCAGTCAACAAAATTTTTTATGGTCAAAAAAATTGATCAAAATAACAATTAAACATTAAAATTTTTAAAAAACAGAAGATGTAATTAAAAGTTTGGAGAAAAATGAAAGTTTTGGTGTATTATACAATGACACATTGAATTATTTACTCTAATTGTAAATGTGAAGTGCAAGGTGATATTTTGTTCTAGTTATTTTCTTGCAAGTGTCTGGTTGGTTTAAATTTAAAAAATAATAGCAATTTATTAAAAAAAAAAAAAAAAAAACAATTACAAGGGGAGGCAAATGCATGTGTTTGAATTTTGTAATTTTTTAATCGACCATTTTGGAAATTCTTGGTAAATTGGGTTAGTGATTATGCAATAGCTTCTTTTCCTTTTGTTTTTGGTTTTGTTGATCTTGTTGCTTCATGACCCACAAAAACGAAAGAACAGAGATTCTTGCATATTGTTGGATTATTGAAGAGGGAGGCTTACATGGGGAATGAATGATTAATGGTGCAGCTTTCTTCATTTTGCCTTTGTGTTTTCTCTGTTTTTCTTACAAATGACGAACTGCCAGTCTATGATAATTGCAATATCAGGACTTATAGTTTTTCTATTTTAGTTCTTGTATTAATTTTTTTCTATTGCAGTGCCTGCCTTCTTTTAGGATTCCTTAGAAATCCGATACATGTCCATGTCCAATGAGTCGTTGTGTTATCAAATTTCTAACAAAGTACTGAATTGAAAAACATGTTAGTTCAAGTACTGATTTGGCAATTATTTCCAGCTACCTTAAACAACTATTCATCAACGTAAATTTTTCATTTTTTTGGGAGTAAATTATAAATTAGTCCCTATAATTTTGAGAAATTACTTTTTTATTTCAAAAACAATTATTTAGTCTTTTTGTTCATTTTATGTTCTTTTCTAATTTTATTTTTTTTAAATAGAATAAATAAATAAATATTAATGAAATATTAATGAGAAAATAGAGATTTGTTTATATAAAATAATATTAAATTAAGCATAATCAACATTGTTGAAAAAGTAAATAATTAATTTCCAAAACATAAAGGACTAATCAATTTGCTTCTCAAAACTAAAAGCATTAATTTATAATTTACTTTTAAAAAAAAGGGTCCAAAAACATCTTTTGTAACGGTAACTTTTTGTGTCTGGTTCAAGTTCAAGATCTATCTTCCACTTTTGGTACCTAAAATAGTTGGTTCTTTCTTTCAAACGAAGCAAAAATAACGGTCACAAAACAAAGCAAATTAAAGATCCAACTCCAAAAATGAAAAGGAAACAAGTAGAAGAAGAGGAGGAGGAGGAGGAGAACGTAAGGCTTATTTCTTGTAAAGTGGTGGAATATTTAGAGCCAATGATGTCAAGAGATCTTCTCTTCAAGTTCCCAGATAACTCTAGCTTTGATTTCGACTATACTCAGAGCTCAATATGGTCTCCTTTAGTGCCAAGAAATTACAGTCCCCTGGATTTGGATTTGGTTACTCCAAGAAAAATCGCATTTGGGTTTGGCTCTGCCTCAGTGTTGGACAACAACGACAGCAGTAGAAGTGGTTCCAAGAAACTGAGCTCCAGCATCAAGAAGAAGAAGAAGAAGAAGAAGAAGAAGATGGCTATCAGTCCTAATGCTTTTAATGTCAGTCTTAGTAACTTGAAGATAAGGAAGCATAAAGTTAAGGTCTCTGAGTTCTCTCCAACTCCAATTAAGGCTTCTTGTGTTCCCTTTGCTGCGAAGGTAAATTTTAAGCCTTCTTTTATCCCCATCGACAATTTGAATGGAATGTTTTGATTACAAGAAGAAAAAAACTAGACCCACTTGAGGGAATTTCTAAGAAACCAAGAATTATTAGGAAAAAAGTAAAGATTGAAGAGAAAAAATGGATGCCCTTTTAGATCCTTTAATCTGTCTTCTGATTGTTTAGTGTTTACTGTTGTAATTACTGCGTTAATTGTCACTAAATGATGGTATATTTGTTCAGGGATGGATTAAAGTGCTGAAAGCTGCCACTAAACATTTCAAGAAAAAGAAGAAGAAAGATCCCACTACCCATGTGAAGCTTTCCAACTATTTGAGAGATGCATAGCAATTGAATCGGTGAATTCATTGCTCACCTAAGCTAGATTAATTTATTACATTCTTTTTAAAGTACTTAAATTGTTCTTGTAGTACTTAATTCTTTTAAAGCTCTAATAAATGGTTGATTTCTCTTGTCAAAAGCATGTAAACTTGTGTTAATTATTGAATCTTCATGTCAAAAGACTCAAAACACTAGCTGAATTTCATTATCCTATGGATCATTGTTCAAAATAATTATGAGGAAAGAGGATATACAATTGCTTCGCTAGTTCATGCTAGATTTCCTTCTGGGCATGATGCAAAACTTGACAGGACCCGCAGAACCTCAATAACTCCCCCAACTATACTGAAATTCTCAATTACATCCTTCATCCATATACATGATTTTATCCAAATTCTATGTTATTTTTATAACAAACGATATTATTTTATCGGCAGCTTGACTTTTTTTTTTTTAATAAAGAGTTTAGGAAACAAAATTCAGTTAATATATATATATATATATATATATATATATATTTTGGGATCCAATTAAGACAAAAAAAAAAAAAATTGTATCATGACTTAATTGAGATCTGATCTATATTTTGGAGCTAATTTGAAAATTGGTCTGCTATAAACTATCTAATTTGAAATTTGGTCTGCTGTAAACTATGTATAAATTATAAATTAGTCCCTCTACTTTTGAGAAATAAATTAATTAGTTTTTCTTGTTTCAAAAATTATTTATTTAATCATTTAATCAGTATTGATATTTTAATTTATTTTTATTTTTAAAAATAAATTCTTTTTTCTCATTAATTTTCCCATAATATCTATTTATTTTTTATTTTTCTATTTTTAAAAATAAAATAAAGAACATAAAATTGACAAAAGTTCTCAATAATTATTAATTAATTTGTTTTTCAAAACTAGAGGGTTTAATTTATAATTTACTCTATAAACTATTTGAAACACTATTACTAAATAATGAAACCAGGTTTTGTTTTTTTTTAATCTACTGGTCATGGTATATGAAAATATATCCGGCATTTCAGTAAAAGAAAATGCATGATTGGTAAAAAGAATTAAATTAATAATGACTATTTACTTTCTTTATAAAATGGTAAAGATATGAATGACTAGAAATCCAGGGAAATTTATGAAATATCTGATAAAACCAAGACATGATTTATTCATCTCAATTTTATAAAAACGTACAAAGGAGGAAGCAAAAAGCTTGACAAACTCATTGCTTGCTCATCTTAGCTCCAGAGGCATCAACCACAGAGGATTACTATTCAGTTTGATTTAGTTTTTGGTTAAGCGAGTCTACAAAAATAAAAACTGAATCCAAACCAAATTATTATTTGATTCCTCAGTTTAAAAAATAAAATTTTGATTTTTTGGTTTAAACTAATTTTTCATTTTTCTTTTCCCATTTTTTAATTAATTTAAATAACATAAATAGACTAACAATACTATTAATCCATTATATATTTATAATAATATTAAGGTATTTTTTTTATTTGCATTATTTCAAAACTAAAAAAAAATAAGAAAAAATCAGTTTTTGATTTAAATGGAACCAAAAATTCCAATGTTACATCGAACCGAAAAACAAAAAAAAAACTTTTGAGTTAAAAATATTTTAGTTTGATTCAATTTTTCAATTTAAATCGAATAATGCTCATCCCCTGCTGTACATGATGAAATCCTACTATCTATGATGGAATTAGAGAATTGATAAGAATTCTACTTCTTATAGCCAACTAGCTTGGGGTTTTAACACATAATCTTAAAAAAAGGAGAGCATTTTCTGATCAGGTCAATCTTACATGTTTAAGCTTAAAGAACTCAAGACACAAGCCATTCGTAACCTGAATTCCACATTCTGGTAGATCAAAGACTGTAACGAATGGTCAGAAAAATAATCAGAACTCTCCTTCACATTATTAACGAGTTGTCTGTAGAAAATTCATAAATTGTTTAATTTTTTAATTAATTATAAGAAAAAATAAGGATGATAGGATACAAACGTGTGACTATATCAAATACTTATTTGAAATTTAAAAATAATTTTATATTATTTTCTAATATGTATAAATAAAAAGTGTATATGCTAAAAATCCATTTTAGTTAGTTACATCACCAAGTCTAAAGAACTGATCTAGTGGCTAAGAAAATTTGTTCTCTTGAGCTTGAATATTAATATTAAGTTATAAAGATTGATATGGATTGAGACGAGCAGTATTGTATAGTGCTATGAATACAACAATCTCGTTAGTTTTATATGTTAGTTGTCCATATTAAAAATAGAGATAATACCTCTTGTATTTATAAACCATCACTTAACTAACCTTAATAAGAATTCTTAATACTTAACGTAGAATAAGCATTATTGACAAATCGCTTAAAATCTTTATATTGTAAAATTATTCTTCCCTTTCTACTTTATTTTCTTGTAGAATTCGTTTCTTAACACTTAAAACTAACATTTAGAAGAATTTATTAATTTATGTAAGTATATTATGCTGACCGAAGGATTTATCCTTAAAATCTTCTACAAATGTCAACTTTTCATTTGGAGTTACTTAAAGCAAAGGACCATGCCGGGTAGCATAAATTGCTAATTTTTCTTAATTGTGGATAAAATTTTGTCTAATTGTTCTTTTGAAAAAAACCAAAAGATAGAAATATCATATTAAATAACTAATTGTTGGATTTTATTTATGTACATAAATTATCATATCAATTTCAAGTCTATTGAATGCATATTTCTATTTAAATTGAGAAATATCTATATAAATAAAGTAGAAATTTGATGTTTAAGATTCTTATGATTTTTTTATGCATTGATTCTTAAATAAAAATTTGTAATAATTTAGACTAGAATATTAATCAAGAATTAAACACAATACTTTAAAAATATATTTTTCATAAGAATGTATTAAAAAAAAAAAAAAAAACAATGTGAAGACACACTCAAAACTAATGTATATTTCACGGGAGATATGGAATGCATGGCAGCAAGAATGGGCAAAACCTAAATCCAAGCCTGATCCGAGTGAGCAGCACTGGAACCTCATGAACGAGAGGGGTGGGCCGATGGCCTCGGTGCTGGCTCATCTAGACATACGAGAGGTTTGATCACACAAATAGCATGTAATACACATGATATATATATATATATATATATATTGCAACATCAATATACATTTAAGTATATTTATTTTTAGGGTAAGGAGTTGGGTCGTAAATTCGAGGCTTACAAGATTTTTTTGAAGACTCACGGGAAAAAAATCGATAATAAATATATATTCATTGATTAGCGAGCTAAAAATCTCAAGATAAGTAATTTATAAGTATATTATATATGTATACCACTTTTATATAACTTATTGAGATAATTATGTAATATTAAAATTTAAGAGATTGTTAGAGGAGGAGAGATTAAAAGGACGAGAATGTAGAGTCTCGGGTTATAAACCTCTCATTATTACTCTAATATTAATTCATTCTCTAGTTCAAATACATCGTAGTTTCATATCGATATTAAGCGAGCATCGAAAGAAAATGGAGGCCAACAATGCTAGACATGAAGAAAAGATCCAAAAACTAGAGGATACTCGTTACATCGCTCCTAACTGCTACAAATCAATTGGAAAAGTAAAATCAAGGATAGTATGCGATGATGCAATAGATATTACTAAATATGCAAAAAGGTAATTCGTCCACCAATCATTTGGCTAACCATCATTCGACGGATGAAAATATTGATATGTGACATGTACCTCATTCATCACACTATCTTTTTTTATCGTTATTATGTTTTTATTTACTCGAAATATTAATATACTTTAATATAATTTGATACTTAAATATATATTGGATTGGATTTGATTTGATATATTATAAAAGATTCGTATTTTCTATAATTCTATTTCATACTATTATTGTAGTTGTTGGATTGGATTGAATATGTGAAAATGAAAACGAGATATATCACTTATTAGTGACATGTGAATGATAGAATAATTGATTAAAAATATCGTTAAAAAAAATTGATTTAGCGACGATTTTTAAAACCGTAGCTAAATCCAAGCTAAATTTAACAAAACTGTTGCATGCTAAATTTAGCGAATGTTTATCGACGGTTTTTTCGAAACCATCACTAAATTTAACTATTTTGACGATCTTTTTTCTTGTTATTTAACGATAGATTTTTAATTTTTTTACAATGGATAAGCCATCTCTAAATTAGCGATAGAATCCTTGAACCGTTGCTAAGAAGTTTTTTAACGACGGTTTTGACCTTTTCTAAACTATTGCTATATTTAATTAACTATGGTTTTTTATATTTAACAATAGTTTAAACTGTTGCTAAACTGTTTTATTTATTTATTTATTTAGTGCAAGTTTTAGCAGACTTGTTCGAATCATGTCTTAACACATACCATGTGTAGTTTCCTTCCTTTGAACTTCATTAAAACGCCCCGACTTCCAAAGCAAAAGAACACAACTGATTTTTCTAGTTGATCATCAAGCCGTTCCATGATCTTACCTTGTTGATTCAAATTTGACCCCATCAAACTCTGACTACTCACATTAAGCAGTGGCCCCACTGGAGGTGTATCTCCACCTAAAAAACAGCTGACTCCTTGGGATTTAAGTTCAATGAATGTATGACAATAATTCCCTTGTTCAATCTTTACTCTCTAGTTTTATCTATTTGTTCGCTTAAGAACTTCTCAACCAATAAAATATATTCAATCCTAATTGTTTGACAATTCCTACCCTTAAATGTTATAAGAGATATATATATATATTATGTAAACAATAAATATAACAACTAAAATTTAAAGTAAAAATTAATTCAAAGCTTTTGTGTGTGTATATATATATTTAATAAAAAATAAAAAAAGCTAATTTTACAAAAAATGTTAAATATAAATAGATATCAAGTACAAAAGAAATGATTGTAGGCAAGATGATAATAATAATAAAAAAAAAAAAAACAACCTGTTTGTTAGAGAATTTATTATATTATTTTGAATGGACTACATCCATATAAGAGGTGTACTTTTAAAATCGTTAATATGATTAATGTGCAAATTGATCTAATGGTACTCTTACCGTCAAATTAAAAAAAAAAAAATCTATTTCAACCATTAAAGAAAACAATTAATTACTAAAAAACACTATAATATAATAATTGATACAATTATCATCTACATTAATAAATTGTTTACAAAGAAATTTAAACCCATATTGGAGATACTAAAATGACATAAATAACAGCTAAATTATTTTAAAAATATGCATCAAACTTCAATGGAAAAGAAAAAAGTTATTTAAGATAACATAACCTTAATCAAGTTTCCAAATGCAGCATATGATGATCCACCCTCCATTACAACTTTCTTGCAAGTTTTACTCATTTCCATGACTTTATTTCTCACTTCACCATCTTCTTCCATCACATATTTCACCGATTTTGCTATCTTATCAGCAGACACAAGTTCTTTAGAAAACAAACTATAATCTAAAGTCATCTCTACAGCTAGTCCCAAATCATTCACCATTTGAAATGCATTAAGTTGTTGCTCTGCATACATCGGCCATGTAATAATAGGTACGCCATACCATAAACTCTCTAAAATTGAATTCCATCCACAATGCGACACAAATCCTCCTATAGCTTTGTGAGCCAGGACTTGTATTTGTGGTGCCCATCCACATATCATGCCGATATTTTTTGTCCTTTCCATGAACCCATTCGGCAAGACTTCTTCATAGTTCGTGTAATCACCGGGCAGTGCAAATTGCCCTTCAGGTGGAGGCTTACGGATAGACCATAAGAATCTGTGTCCACTTTGTTCTAGACCAAGTGCAGTTTCTTTCACTTGAGCTTCACTGAAACGCCCTACACTTCCAAAACACAAGAACACAACTGATTTTTCAGGTTGATCATCAAGCCATTCCATGATCTTAACATGTCGATTTGAATTTGACCCCATCAAACTCTGACCATTGACATTAAGCAGTGGCCCCAATGTGTAAACTGGGGGTGTATCTCCACCCAAAAGGGAGCTGACTGCATGGGATTCAAGCTCAGTGAATGTATTGACTATAATACCCTTAGCCTCTCTGAATCTTCTTCCATGGTTTTCAAAGCAGGTGTATCCACCATCCTTGTTAAATAATACTGATGGCATAACCCTAGCAGGCACAGGGTTGACAAAACTGGGAACAATCAAGTCAGGATCAGTTTCTTTAAACTCAATCCCAACCTGATCTAGCCTAGTTGGAAGATAAAGCATGAGACCAAGAAAGCCAGCACTAGACGTGAAGTAAACATAAGAAGGAATCCCGAGTTCATTAGCAACATCAATCATTGAAGTACAAAACACGTCAACAACCAAACCAACAATTGGGACTGACTTGTTGGACATGACATGGTTAAGAATAGCCTCTTTTACATGAGGTTTGTGCAATTCAAGGGAAAGAGAAATAAAATTTTCAGGGGATCTGAAAGGGTCTAAATCAGGTGGGGTTACTTGAGGAAGGGTGATGTATTTTATTCGAGCATCAATGACAGTGAGTGATTGATTGAAGGTATCTATGTCAAGAGCATATGGGGCTTTGATGACAAGAACGGTTATTAAGAAACTGTCATCTTGATCAAGCAAGCGTTTGGCAAATTCGATGGTGGATACAAGGTGACCAATTCCAGGAGAAGGGACTAGAACTAGCTGTGCTTTCTTCATTTTGCAGCTATGGCTTTGTGCTAACATAATATTTCTTTGTTCTTGATTTATTCTTTTATAACCTTTTGATCAGGTGCTGTCTCAAGAACTGATCAGCTCGTGGTGGTTAGGATTAATTAATTGAATTCAAAAAAGAAATTTTAAGCAAAAAAGTAAAAATATGAGCCTCATTGTATTTTTTTTTTTAATTATAAAAGAATATTTGGTTGTTAAAAGAGTAGATATAGCAGGCAACGGGATAAGAGTTGTACATTTGGCAAGCAATAATTGGCCGCAAAATCTAAAACTTTATCCTTAATTATCAACAAAACTAAAGTAAAACATTTAAAATATTATTCAAACACTTATAAATCACTATTCACACACTCACGAATCATTACTCGTTTCATTATTTATTTTATTTTTGTAACACTTTGGTATTCAATTTTTTTATATTTTTTTTTCAATTTTGAACTTTAATTCTATTATAATTTGATCTCATTTTGTTTTAGTATTTTTCATTAATTATTTTTATTATTTAAAATTTACTATTTTAATTTGTTATTTTTTAAAAAAATTCTCTTTTTTTTTTAATTTCAAACTTTAATTATATTGTGATTTGGTCCTATTTTGTTTTAGTATTTATTTTTAATTATTTTTATTATTTAAAATTTTCTACTTTAATCTGTCATTTTTCTTAAATCCTTATCCAATTAATTTAAAATTATATTTATTGACGAGTTTTGATTTATTCTTATATATGTACAGATTTTGAAATAAATTTTTAGAATATGATTATTTTTTCTTTTGAAAAATAGATTTAGATAATTTTTAAATTATAGTGGCATGATTAATATATATAATTTTTCTGAAATATATTTTTAGATTAAATTTTTTTTTCAAATAATTTTTTCTTGGTTTTTTATTTTATTTAAAATTTACTACATTAATTTGTCATTTTTTTAAATTCTCTCTCTCTTTTTTTTTAATTTCTAACTTTGATTATATTGTGATTTGGTCTCATTTTATTTTAGTTTTTTTGTTAATTATTTTTATTATTTAGAATTTTCTACTTTAATTTGTCATTTAAAAAAAATATCATCCAATTAATTTAAAATTATATTTATCAATAATTTTGATTTATTTTTCTATATGTATGGATTTTTGAATAAATTTTTAGAACATGATTATTTTTTCTTTTGAAAAGTAGATTTAGATAACTTTTAAATTATGGTGACATGATATATATATATATATATATAATTTGTCTAAAATATATTTTTAAATTAAAGTGTATTTTAAATAATTTTTTCTCATATTTTTTTTAAAAAAACTCAAATTAATTAATTAATAGTTGAAAGTAAAATTAATATAGTTTTTTATTTTAATATTATTCATTCTTTTGTAAATAAATATATAAAAATTAAATTTTTATTTTTTCAAAAACCGATATTCTCATCAACATTAAATAAAAAAATTATTTTTTCAATTCTATATATGCTTTTAATAATTGTTATTTATGTTTTTCAACACAATCTTATAAAGTACTAAAGCTTTTTTTTAAAAAAAATTATTTAATTTTCTTTTTAGTTAATAATCTATAGGTTAACAAGGATAGATTTTTTTTCTAAAAGAAAAATTAAAATAAGAAATAGTTAAATACAAACTTTTTGATTGAAAAATTATAAATAATTTTTTCACATTTGATTTTATATATTTTTATAGAGTCATACCATAAAATAGATTATCGAACTGAAATAATTTCTTTAAACGATTTTATATATTTTATTCAATCCGTAACATAATACAAACAAAAAAATAATAACAAACTAAAAGTAAAGTCTATCGTCATTTTCTATTATTTTCTTGCCAAAGCATTCAATCTTCTTGACTTTTGTCCTTCCTTCTTGTCTTTTTATTTCTTTATAATTTTTTTTTTTTTTGTCTCATTTCATTATCTCCTTTCTTTCTTCGATCACGTTCTTTCTTTCTTTTATTTTTTATTTAATTTTTTTTTCATTTTTATTTTATCTTGCTAGAGCATTTAATGCTCTTGGCTTTTGTGCTCCTTCCTTGCCCTTATTTTTAATAATTTTTCGTCTGATTTAATCATTTCTTTTCTTTCTTCATTGACCTTTTATTTTTTGTCATCTAAACCGATGACTGCGAGGAGTTAAGCACCAATTAACGGATCAAATCAAATCAAAAGACCAAAACAATGTATTTCAGTCACAAAGCATAGTGACACTGAGTATATAACAAAAGTAAAGCAGTAGTGTTTACTTCAATTCTTTTAGTTTTTTTTACAATGTATCTCTTTTTAGGGAGTTCCATACTTACTTATATGGATTTTTAATAAAACTCTTCAATATGATTTTATATTTTAAAAGAAGATAATTATATTTTTTTATTTAATTAAGTTTTCAATATATTTTTTAATCAATTTTTCATCTAAATAACTTGAAAATATTACATGATGCACATAATATATATATATATATATATTTTTAAAGATACCTTTCACGACCTAACATACTAAGTATTTAATTTTTTTTTATGTAATAAATTAACACTTCAATTTGTTTTTATTAGCATGTGACTCCTCTAGATAAAATCAAGAGGAAGATAGTATTTTTTATTTTTTTGGTACAAACTCTTCTGGACGGATCTAATAGTATCTTTTAAACACCTTTTCTACCTAACACACAAACACTTTCTTAACCCAACTCTCAAATACACATCGCTTTAGCTGAACCAAACTGATTTTCTCTAATTATTTGTTTTAGCACACTCAGATGCGTTTTTTTTTTTTCTTTTTTTATAATTGGTTAAGGTCTTTTTGGTTTTGTTGATAGCAGCAACCCTACCCTCCCTCTTACCCTTTGTCTTATTGTATTCTTAAAAAAAAAAAAATAGAAATATCATATTAAAAAAAACTAGTTGTTGGATTTAATTTATTTATATAGATTATCCTATCAATTTCAAGTCTATTCAAAATATATTTCTGTTCAATTTATTTATAAGACCTCTATTGGATGCCCTGAGCTTTCACCAAATTTTTGACTTGGTGGATGCATTACTCAGGTGATTTCATAGATTTATCTTTAACTACACACATTATCTAGCTTTCAATAGACTACAATTGGCACTGCGATATCAATATAATTGTCTATAACGAGAGCAGTCCTAAAATTCAAACTCATGTGTAGTAAAAGAGTAAATTTCTTTATAGACAAATATTTGTATAATAAAATAAAAGATTTTTATTGACTAAAAAATAAAACTCAAATAATGCTACCTACACATGATGTGTGTGTGTATATATCACTATCTATTTATTGTTTTTGCACGTAAAAAGCAAGTGAGATAAATACTTCCAACACAAACAAAAATAAATGTGCACATACTTTAGGCGTAAAAAATTATGCAAAAAAAAAAAAAAAAGAAGAGAAATGTTAATATTTTAAGTTTATAGTTTTACATTTAAATATTATTTTTATATATGAAATTGGATTAACCATATATCATTATTTGTAGAAAGAAAGAGGTGAAAAAGAACATGATAGATTAACATTATATGAAGCTAATTATAATAAGAAAAGTGGCATGCATATTTGTGGATGACAATGTTAGACAAAAAAAATCATATTAAAATTTTTATTTTAATTCATTGTTGATGAATGATATAACATTATTTATTTATTTGAAATATACTTGTATTGATATTTAAAGGAAAAAGACCTGTTTTCTTCAAGTTAATCTTTATGTAGGTTTTTCTCGCCATTAGTGTTGATGAGATAAATAAAAAGATTTTTCAAGAAGTTATGGGTGAAAAAACAGTGGTAAAATTAGAGGACTATGCTTAGGCATAACACCAATATTGTTCTTTAGTTTACAATCTCAATTTGTAACTGATTTTATTACGAGAGAGATATCCTTGTTAGAATTTTATGTCTATTTTTATGAATCCTACTCAAGTATCTTTATATATTTTTGATTAAAAATTTACCATATTTCTCCTTCTTAAAATTATTTTTACGAGTTTTTTTTTAAGATTAAATATGAGTTATACTTAATTATGTTTATATTATTGATTATTTTTTTCATTTTGAAGTTGTGCTTTTAATAGTTTGTAATGATGGCAATGGTGAAAATATTTTTTCTCCTAAAAGAAATATTTTTAATAAATTGTGCTTTTAATAAATATTATTCTACATTTCTTAGATGAAGTCAAATAATTATTAGAAAAGAAAGAAAAAATCAATTTCAAGTTTAGAGATCTAAGAGAAAGACTATTTCCGATATTACAATATAACTAAAAGAACTACGGTCTGTCTACAGTGATGAGCAATACCTCAGTTTTTTATTTTTTGTTTTTTACGCTACTGCTAGGTTGACCAGCAACCAAGGCCTGCACGTGCCAGGCCTTGGTTGCCTAGCCTGGCAGCCTTCCATTTTTTTTTTTTCATAGACCTAAGCCTTGGTGCCCAGCATTCTTTCCTTTTTTTTTTTTTTACACATACATATACACACACACACACATATATATATATATATATATATATATATATATATATATATAGCTCATGATTAATAAACATATTTTTAGGTTACAATGGTCCTCCCAAAATTTTTTTTCATAGACCCAAGCCTTGGTGCCCGGCATTCTTTTTTTTTTTTTTCCTTCACATATATATATATGGGGCTCATGATTAATAAACATATTTTTAGGTTATAATGGTCTTTTTGAGACATTTTTTATTTTTTATTTTATTATAAATTTGTAATGGTTGATAATTTTTGATATAATTTTATTTGTTAATTAATTTGCTTTCATATAATTTTATTTCTTAATAAATTTGGTTTTTTAATAAATGAATTTTGGAATAAAATTTTACAACGTCAATGTTTTATTTTTTAAAAATATATTATTATAATTAATACAATAAATTATTTTTAAATGAGTGTTTTATTTTTTAATATATATATATATATATATATATATATATATAGAGAGAGAG